TGTGTGGGGGGGGGGGGGTTTCCTCCCCCACTACAAAGACATGCTGAAAGGTTAACTGGCTCCTGTCTAAATCAACCCTGTATGTGTGTGCAATAGGGACCTTAGATTGTAAGCTTCTTGAGGGCAGGGACTGATGTGAATGTTCTGTACAGTATGTAAAGCGCTGCGTAAGTTGTCAGTGCTATATAAATACCTGTAATAAATAAATAGATAGATAACCCTTCCCCAGTCTATCTAACACTAAAAATGTAAGACCATGGGCTAGGGTCCCACTATAAGAGATGGAAACTTAGGCTTGAAATGTGGCACACACCTCAAATAAAGTGTAATACTTTAGTTTATGCAGAGGAGTTCACTAGCTGTGTATTTAAAGATGTTCAGACTTAATAGTTGACTCTTGTATCAATTGGCCAGAATTCTGCCTTTTGATGATAGCAATGTTCGCAGGGTCAAATTATTTTTTAATTTTCTAAAATATTACCTTTCGATGTGCTATTTGAAAACTGTGGACAGCCGAGGCCCTAAGCTCTGCTCAACCTTGAATCCTGTTTCAACACAACTACGTAACTGTTCCATAAATGTATTTTGTGAATGTAAATCTGATGTGAGTACGCACAACAAAATCACATTAACAGTACTCTGATAAATTTCTCTTGCTGATAAACACATGTCACATTCTCTTCTACAGATCTGCCACTGCTCCCTAATTCTTTTCAGATTAAAATCTTCTCTGTCATGCTGCGTCTAAGATGATTACGTTCCATCTGCTTCATCTTTCACTTAATAAAATGAATCAAAAAGCTCAGGCAAAATCGCGACGGCTTTAACGAAACACATCCCCATGATTCTGTGTTATAATTGTCCTTTCATCTTTGAATGTATTGACATTTTAACCTAATTACCTAAAAAAATTTCCTCACTCAAAGGTAGACTTCAATTAATCAAGAAGATTTGTCTCTTCAATTAATTTAGAGAATGCAGCTTAGAAATGCTTCTGTTTTTCTGGCATTGATTTCATGGGGACCATGCTTATGAAACCCCTATGAATGCTGATATGCTTATCTAGTTAATAACCCCAAATTGGAAGTTCTTAGAAAGGGATTTCAAACATAAAAGTGATTTTCAAAAAGAAAAAAAAAATCTTTGGCTGCCAGATAGTGCTCGTTCAACCGACCACACTGTGATATCTGTGGCCAGATATCTATGGCTGACAGGTGTACTTTAAAGCAGAAGTTGTCAGCCAGTGGCATGTGTTAACCGTCGGGAGTGCTTCCATATTGCTCTTGGCAAATTTAGTTTTTTTTATTCAAAGTATAAACTGGAAAAAAAAGTTTTACTGCACATGTTTCAGGTGTACTCAGTAGACTTGCTAAAATTAACAGCCTTGGTCAACTCCCGCTCTGCCTTCTCTCTTTTTCCCTCAGTCAATGACCAGAAAACACTCTGCCTCCTTTATCTTCTCCCTGGTCTATCACGATTTCCAACTCTGCTAGCTCCCATTCTGCCTCCTCTCTCTTCACCTTGAACCATGATCGGCTCCCAGTCTGCATACTTTCTGTTCCCTGATGATCTTTTCCCCTATGATCATCTCCCGCTCAGCCTCTTCTCTCCCTTCCAGCCCATTATCAGCTTCCACTCTGCTTCTTCTCTCTTCCCCTCATTCTGTAATTAAAGCCCATTCTGTCTCCTCTTCTTCCATGTTGGTCCCTAATCAACTCCTACTTCACATTCTCTTTCTTCTCACAGTCCATGATCTGATACCACTCTGTCTCCCCTGTCTTTCCCCATGTTCATGATCAGCTCCCACTCTGCCTCCTCTCTCTACCTCCCCAAGTCCATGATCAGCTCCCACTCTGCCTCCTCTCTCTTCCTTCTCGGGTACATGATCACCTCCCACTCTGCCTCTTCTCTCTTCCTCCTCAGGTCCATGATCACCTTCCACTCTGCCTCCTCTCTCTTCCTTCTCAGGTCCATGATCACCTCCCACTCTGCCTCCTCTCTCTACCTCCCCAAGTCCATGATCAGCTCCCACTCTGCCTCCTCTCTCTTCCTTCTCGGGTACATGATCACCTCCCACTCTGCCTCTTCTCTCTTCCTCCTCAGGTCCATGATCACCTTCCACTCTGCCTCCTCTCTCTTCCTTCTCAGGTCCATGATCACCTCCCACTCTGCCTCTTCTCTCTTCCTCCTCAGGTCCATGATCACCCCCCACTCCGCCGCTTCTCTCTTTCTCCTCAGGTCCATGATCACCTCCCACCATGCCTCTTCTCTCTTCCTCCTCAAGTCCATGATCACCTCCCACTCTGCCTCTTCCTCCTCAGGTCCATGATCACCTCCCACTCTGCTTCTTCTCTCTTCCTCCTCAGGTCCATGATCACCTCCCACCATGCCTCTTCTCTCTTCCTCCTCAAGTCCATGATCACCTCCCACTCTGCCTCTTCCTCCTCAGGTCCATGATCACCTCCCACTCTGCTTCTTCTCTCTTCCTCCTCAGGTCCATGATCACCTACCACTCTGCCTCTGCTCCCGTCCTTCTTAGGTCCATGATCAGCTCCCATTCTGCCTCTTCTCTCTTCCCCGGAAGGCCATGATCAGCCTCCCCTCTCTCTCCTCCGTCTTCTGCCCCGGTTTCATGATCAGCCGCCGCTCTGCCTCCTCTCTCTTCCTCACCAAGTCCATGATCAGCTTCCACTCTGCATCCTCTATAGTCCATAATCAGCTGCAATTTTTCCTCTCCCCCACCCACAGTCCATTATCAGCTCCTACTTTGCCACATCCCACTCGGCCTCCTCTCTCTTCCCAAGGTGTTCCATGGTTGATTACCCCTCTTTTCTATCCCTACCCCTTGTCCTTCTCTTATGACAAGCAGATTGGAAACCATGTTGTTCTACTGCTGCTGATTACAATTATGTTGTTTTGTGTTTGTTGAAGTCTTCCTCATTAAAAAAACCTATAATGGTTACCAGCAAAACTGCGTTGCAAATAGCTTATATGTCACATTTAAGATAAAACATATTTTTTTCTTAACAGTTTGTTGAGAGCATAAATTTAAACAAGAGACCTTTCCATCTTGTTGGTACATCGATGGGTGGGAGTGTGGCCGGGGTATATGCTGCTCAGTATCCAAAAGACCTCTGCAGTTTGACTCTAATTTGTCCTGCAGGTAAGTTACAATAATCATACCTTAACCACTTCTGGGCTGGGGCAATTTTGATTTTCTGCACTGCATCAGTATAATCTTTAATAATTTTTTTTAGTGTGTGAGATATCTATCCGAATGTAGCTGCATTACTAAAACTGCTTTATTATAATATAACAGATATAAAAAAAATAATATACATACTGCTCAAAACTACCTAAATGTCTCACTACTTACCTATAGGTGCGTTTACTTTACCTTCCCCATTCCTGTCCACACTCTCCCCCCCACCCTTCCAAATCCCACTACAGTCCCAGGAAAAGTCCTATGCAAATACCATTAGAAATTACCCTATGATTGGTATCTGTATTCTACTTAGCACAATGGAGCGACTTCCACATTGTTTAGTTTACTGACGCCACGGCAATTTCTGTGAGTACCGCGGTTCTAGAAGAACTGTTGCAGCTCTGTCTAGTCTCTCCCTGCAGCAAAGATCACTACTTTTAGTAATCTATTGCTGGCTGATTGCTGCCAGCAGTAGATCCGTACTAGAAGTGATCTGTTGCTGCACAGCTTCATATCCTAAAAATAAATAAATAAAAATTGGCCTCTGGAAAATATGGAATATAGGAAGTTTTTATTTCCTGTGCTCCTCAGCTCCATATAGAGGGCACAATTCAGTAGTACATTACAAACATTCGAACTGAAAGAAAATATATATTAGAACATTTGTTTTTGTGTCAATTTGCACAGAATGAAAGTTCAGAAAGATTTGTAGGGCAAATGGCTCTGGTTACTCAAATGTCACTCTAACAATTTATGAGGACTGTTTTTTTTAAATGGAAATAAAACTTTCGTAGAATAAAATGCATATGTTCATCAGCAGACTTTGTTGATTATATTTTGTGCTAAATATATGGGGGTGCGCAAATTATGTAAATGTTGCATTAGAAAAAATTACAGGACAATACATTTTTTTCAAATATTTTACAATTTATTACTAATAAAAAAAAGGAAATACAAATATATACATTCAAATTTGGTACCAATGTAAATCCCTATCTGTCCCAAAACAAGCAATGTATAATAAATTAAGGTGGACTATAAAAGAACTATGAGTGAGTGCTTTAGTTAGAGCCGACATGTGACATTGAAACTGTCACACGTCAGCTCTATAGATCGGGAAGTGAGTGAACACATACCGCCTCTCATTCACTTCCCGATCATCTCCCTGCAGAGAGCAGTCACTGTCAGTCACTGCTCCCCGCAGGAATTCCCCTCCTTCCCTCTCCGATCCTCCAGCGCTGACTGATAGGCAGAGCCCGCTGTCAATCAGCCAGCTTGATGGATCTCGACAGTATTGTCGAGATGCATCCCGGCTGCAACGCTCTCTGTATATAGCGGGCAATAGCCCGCTATATATATATACTGAGCTTTTGGTCACGGCAGGACGTTAGTATATGTCCTTCTGTGACCCTAAAGAGAGCTATGGGATAAAAAGGTTACCCCATAGTTCTCTTTTAAAGGTATAATGTGTGGAACGAAAACAAAAACACTTTGGAACTCAAGAGGAGTCTATTTTTACTTTGAAAATTCATAAATTCATTTTATTTGTCTTTTCTCTCAATTAGGTTTACAGTACCCCACTGCAAGCAAATTCCTAAAACGCCTGCAGGACATAAAAGAATCTGGAGAAGAAAATCCAAAAATCCCCCTCATTCCATCCACTGCAGAGGAGATGGAGCAGATGATGAAACTCTGCTCATATGTCCGCTTTAAGATTCCACAGCAGGTAAGTGGTGCTGACTGCACAGAACACAGCACCCTGGGGCACTTTTATCAAGAAAATCATGGACACATTTGAACACAAATCAGGTTACCTCTTGTTTAGTAAAGTCTATGCAACAGTTTTACTGTGTATTCATGACCTCACCTGGAATCCTGGTCAGGCAACTGAGACAGACTTCCAAAGTTTTGAGACCGGTTTATCACTGTAGATAAGACTAATATCCACTCCAAAAATGTGCTGAACTCTGGGATAATCAAACATTGCAATAATCCAGTATCCAGGAAATAATGACTCAAGTTGTAAGCTTTTAGTAAATCTGTTGCTCTGCTTCTGTTAGCATTGCCTTGTTGTGCGACAGAATTGATGAATTTCCCTCGTTGGGTTTTACTTAACATAGTGTCTGCAACAAGTACTGTATGTATTGCTCTGGAGCAGGGGTGCCCATTAGGTAGATTGTGATCTACCAGTAGCTCTCAAAGCTGATGATGGTAGATCACAAAGGGTGTGAATGGTGGCCCCTTTATTCCATTTTGGTATATTTATTTAGCTGTGCACACATAATTACCTATTAGCCTGAACACAAGTCCATGTATCCCATCGCACTCCTGACTGGAAAAATGCCCAATACAGCGGGGTGAGTGCGGCAGCGACAACGGATGCCTCCGTTAAACGTACAAAAAATAAGAAAAGTCACCGGCACTCCAAATAATCAAGTCAATTAATTTATTGACCCAAGTGATAACACCTCTAGCAACGTTTCAGGACCACGCGGCCCCTTCCTCTGTTTGCCTGAGGAAGGGGCCGCATGGTCCCGAAACGTTGCTAGAGGTGTTATCACTTGGGTCAATAAATTCATTGACTTGATTATTTGGAGTGCCGGTGACTTTTCTTATTTTTTTTGTACCTATTAGCCTGAGTCTGCTTGGCCAAGCTCCCTGACACCTTTCTGGTGGATACTGGGGGCTGAAGTGCTATGTATTACATCAAAGAATATTAGTTTACACAGCCTGTTGCACTGCACTGTTTGCAAAATACAGCAAGGTGAGCCAGGGGAGAGAGCAAGGAGAGACAGCCAGGAGAGAGAGCGAGGGAGGGTTTTTTTCATTGGTAGATCTCATGTAGCTTGTCATTTGAAAAGTAGATCTTAACACAAAAAATTGTCGGCACCCCTGCTCTAGAGTAAGTAATCGCATTGAACGTTCCACTCTGCAAATATCTTTTTCCAGGTTTGAATCTGACTAGTTGTTGTTCTTGTACAACGTTATAGACACGTTGATAAATGAGACACCCAGCAAAGGGCCTTTTGGCAAGAAAGTTTTTCAGCCATCATTTTTGACAGATGGCAGTCCAGGAAATGCTGTTTGTTAGATATGTCCAATTGACATTTATAGGCTGCTGATAAAATATCCCTCTCTTATTTTGGGTATCCCGAGTTAATGTGGATTTAACAGCCTGTTGCACTGCACTGTTTGCAAAATACAGCAAGGTGAGCCAGGGGAGAGAGCAAGGAGAGACAGCCAGGAGAGAGAGCGAGGGAGGGTTTTTTTCATTGGTAGATCTCATGTAGCTTGTCATTTGAAAAGTAGATCTTAACACAAAAAATTGTCGGCACCCCTGCTCTAGAGTAAGTAATCGCATTGAACGTTCCACTCTGCAAATATCTTTTTCCAGGTTTGAATCTGACTAGTTGTTGTTCTTGTACAACGTTATAGACACGTTGATAAATGAGACACCCAGCAAAGGGCCTTTTGGCAAGAAAGTTTTTCAGCCATCATTTTTGACAGATGGCAGTCCAGGAAATGCTGTTTGTTAGATATGTCCAATTGACATTTATAGGCTGCTGATAAAATATCCCTCTCTTATTTTGGGTATCCCGAGTTAATGTGGATTTCATAATACGGCATAATCTGAGCTATTTGCAGAGTTGTCTGAAAACCGCAGAGCACAGATGGCAGTTGATAGCAGGGATTGTCAGTCATGTGTCAGCTGTGGGCTCTTAGCTAATGCCTCAGCCATAATAACTAACTCTTTGTTGTATGTGGATAGGAATGAAGCATACTGTAACCAGGAAAAATGGGTGAATTTCTTATTCTGAAATTTTCTGTATGGGTAGTGTAGTATCCTATGTTATATCTTTACATTTAAAAGACACTCAAAAGTGATTTTTGTAGTTGGGGATGGAGCTCTATGGAGTCATTCTATTTATATGTTTTGGATACCCCAGCATGGGGCCTACCTGCCACAATTCCCAACTTAAAGGAACAGTCCACTCAAAAGTTATATTTTAGTTACGGATGGATAGTTACGGATGGAACCTTATAGGCTATTCTTTTCTTATATCGTGGCTACTGCATCAGTGTGACCTCCCTGCCATAGTTCCCAACTGTTTTGTGAATTATCAAAAGTATTGGTGCATGCCCACAACTGCTCACTTTCATTTGGGGATAAGCTGGCATTTCTAAGGAATACCTCCAAATGTGTCACCAGTTCCTTGTGCAGGCTTCAGCTGTAAGGACAGCAAAATAACGCTGTCTTTTCTTTATAAAGGACGGTTGAAACACCTCCAACTCATCCGTTTAAAAACAGGTGTAACGATCTGGATCAGGCTCGGAGTCAAGTGGCTGAAACAGCAGGCAAAGTCATAGTCAAACAGGCCGAGTTCAGTACACAAGCAGATGATAGTAGTACAGGTAAAACTCAAATAATTAGAATATTGTGCAAAGTTCATTTATTTCACTAATACAACTTAAAAGGTGAAACTAATATATGAGATAGACTCATTACATGCAAAGCAAGATAATTCAAGCCGTGATTTGTCATAATTGTGATGATTATGGCTTACAGCTCATGAAAACCCCAAGAACCCCAAATCCACAACCTCAAAAAAGTAGAATATTACATGCAATCAATAAAACAAGGATTGTACATAGAACAATATCGGACCTCTGAAAAGTACAAGCATGCATATGTACTCAGTACTTGGTTTGGGCCCCTTTTGCAGCACTTACTGCAATTACTTTTGCACGATATTCTAATTATTCGAGTTTCACCTGTATAGGGGCAGGCAGAAGTGTAGTCAGAGATCAAGCCGAGGTCAGTAGCCAAAGGTATCAGGTATGACGTGGAAGATGATGAGAGTAGTCGGTGAATCAGCAACCAAAGGTCGGTACACGGGTAGCAGTATGAGCGGATTGTAAACACAGAAGGAGCAAGAAAGCAAGGTATTGGCAGGAGCACAATAATCTGGCAAAGAGGAAGTGCAGAGGCGTGGCTTAAATAGGAAGTTCAAGGGAGGAGCAAGGGTTTCTAGATGTTTCCCATAGGATAGCAACTCTTTAATTTTTGACTTCAGGTCCACTTAAACCCTTTCTAGATGTTCCCCATAGGATAGCAACTCTTTAATTTTTGACTTCAGGTCCACTTAAACCCTTTTGTGGAACAATAAGACACTCCACTCCTGGTCAGTTATATTTATTCAGAGGATTTTTAGTAAACTCATTGGACATTATTGCCTGCTTTGCAGTGATGGGGAGGGCAGTTCCTTGAAGCACAACTAAAGCCTCCTGTTTGACAGTTTAAACATGTACAAAATCCAGTTACAAGGTGATGAACAAGCCTTTATAAAGTAAACAAAAATCCTCCTTTACCTTCCCTAACTGAGCCAAATCCTTCTCCATTTGTGTCTCACACGCTCCCCCTCCCATTATTTCTAAATTGAATTAGTAACATATATTTAATATTCAATCTAATTTAAACATTTTTATTTCTAGGTGCTGCAAGGGCTCATCGATGTTCGCATTCCTCATAACGAATTTTACAAAACGTGTAAGTGGCAATAAGTCTATCTACAGTAAGGGATTAGAATATTACTGTATAGGGGATTGATACTTTTACAAGAAAATATACTGAGGTTTAACCCTTCCCTATGCTTTCCAAAACTAAATAGAAAAAGTTTTGGGTATACATGCATTTTAATAAATCAACCCTGAAGAGTTCAATCTTAATCTTTTCTTTTCTCTTCTGGACCATCTAAATCAATCTTTTACTTTACTAATGTATTGTACTTGTACTTGGTTTAAACAAAGCAAGGAAGGAATGGATATTTTATTACATCCTGAAGTATGATAAATAATAGATAACATTGTTTGGCAGAGACTTGAGCTACAATGTGAATTAGTTTGTGTTTTATAAAGTGTAGGTTAGGAGAAATGCACCCAAACTGTTATTTTTAAAGCCAACCATACAATCCCTGTCTGTTTTTTATCACTGATCTTTGGGGGAAGGGGGAGATTCACCCTCTCTATTGGTCACGGTGACCATTGTTACTGAGACTGAAAATAATGGGAAATCCAAAATTGTTAAGTTGTCACAGGCAAAGGTGGTGAGGGGAAATCTTCCAATGGGTAGCTATGTTCTGATGACATCTGTGTAACAGGGGATATCCTTTCTTTTCTGAGAGACCTCTTCTTGCTTCTCTAGAACATCTCTAGGAATTATATAGGAATCTCTCTGATTTTCTGTTTACATAAACTCTTTTTTTGGTGGGGCCGAGCATCAAAGATATTAAAAGACACAGGAATTGGCAAGTGCAAGAGTTTCTCATACTTAGTGGTAGGTGCAAATGTTCGAGCACATGTTTTACCATAAAGGTCTACTGATGTCACACAACTCAACAATAAACGATCAGGCATGTCGCATGAATGAATATGCTCCATGGTAAGGATCCTATGCGCCATTTTATTCCAGCCTACAAAGGTGGGAGTTAAGGAGAATTTGGCGTTTTATCATGCTCACCAAGTACCTCCTTTGGCAATTCAAGGTTTAGTAAGTTAAGTTTGCATTTTAAAAAAAATACCCTGCAGTCACGGGGCATCAGTATTGTCAAAAGCATTGTGCAGCTTAGTTTGGATGACACACAGTACCTGTAGGATCATTTCTACTCCCCCAATCCTGTCCAAAATGACAGTTCCACTCCATCCTGGGATAGGAGCTAGGATACCTTGACCATTGATCACAAGCCCACTATAACTGGAATGAGTGTTCTACTTACAAACCGGTGCACGTGCAGTATGCTCTCCCACCTTGTCGCCCCGTTGCTTATGAGCAGAGTGCTCCTTCTTTTTATGCTTTGTGTGCATGTGTCGGTTTGTGAGCAGAGTGCTTGTTCCTGTTATGCAGGGGGCACACTCATCGTGGCTTCTACGATGGGGTGGAACTATCATTATGGAAGCTTTTTGGACAGGCTTTAGGGAAGCAGAGACTGGCCTACAGGCTTGTTTCTAAACTAAGCTGTATTTGCGTAAGCTGGACAATGCTTTTTACACTGCTCGGGCCCCTTGTCTGCATAGTATTTATTTAATGGTGAACTTAGCCTTTAATACACAGGAGTGCTTAACCCCTTCCACCTGGAGAGTATTTGAAGATCAGACTGATCATGGCTTAGAAGCCATATGCATTTCATCTACTGCATGCTTGTTTAATGCCCTATAGCTGCTGGATCTGAACATTTTTTTTATATAGGGTATATACAGTAACATATGTCAACTGGTAAAGTAAATTCTTTTTTTTTGTCAAGTTATAATTTGTTTTAAACTTAGCCAAGTCATGTTTTTACAGGCTTGTAGGTTGCCCCCTTAGATATTCAGCTTGCCTTTAAAGCTAACCATACACATTAGAATCTGACTGTACAGTCTTTGCACAATCTCTTTTAGAGCTACCAAAACTAATGTGAGGATTTACCTAAACAATTCTTTCCATGTCAATCCAATCAAGCACTAAATATTTGTTGGAAGTTATAGAGGAGATTGTATAGAACTTGTGTGGTGAGCCTTAGCCATGTCCACTCGTGTGATCATTTCACACTAGGCTTTCTGCACAATACTTGGTTATTTTGCCGAATTAAATAGGCAAATCGGTTATAGAGTTACCTTCAAGCTAACCAAGGCATACTGACGGTGCTAAATTTGGTCTTCTAGGCTTGCTTTGGTCTACGTTTTGATGTCAAATCAGGTCATGATAGGGTTAGGAGACTCTTACTCTATGTAAGGCCAAATGAGATTAAAGCATAACTAAACCAGGGCTGGACAAATCCCAGGAGCCAGTTGACCAATGCTAGTTAAAACATATAGCTTTAGTTTAGGGTTTAGATATGCTTTAAATGTAAGCATACTATAGTTGGGTTTTTAATGGTGAAAGCTAACAAGCAATATTCTGTTCAGTGTTTTTAGATTTGGTTGCAGAAAAATCCCGTCACATTCTACAAGAAAACATGGACAAAATTACAGTTCCCACCCAGATCATCTGGGGCCGACAGGACCAGGTGGGTCTTTTGGTTCAATTTGTGATATGTTGTTGGTCTGAACATAGGTAAGATCTGTATCTTTTGTTTCATCCCTGTGTGTGTGCAGTATGTTAGTTCTTGACGCGAGGTAAAAATGAATTTTAGGGTGTCCAACAATGTCCCCTGAAATCTAAAGAATCCCAAATTAGCTCTAAGTTCTATAACTAGTGCACAAGCTAACCACTGCTCCCCTGTGTCTTTATTAATCATTATATGTTATTCTCAGCTCACAAATATAAAACACTGCTTGTGCTTTCTGTTCCTCTGCCACAGGTCCTGGATGCTTCTGGAGCAGAAGTCTTGTCCAGTGCCATACCTGGCAGCCAGGTGGAGATCCTGGAGAATTGCGGCCACTCGGTAGTGATGGAGAGACCCAGAAAGACAGCCAAGCTCATGATGGACTTTTTATCCTCCCTGCAAACCACAGAGAACAATAAAAAACATGATTAACAATCAGGAAACGCCTGGGGCAACTCTGGTCCTCTCTGTATTCCGTATCGCTCTGAGTTCCTCAGGGGATCTTGTAGAACTCTTAGGAAAGTAGTTTAGTTCCTTGTGAACACAAGACCGGGACTTCAATATCTGCATGTAAAGACTATGTGCAGATCCCTTCCAGTGCGTCAGTAGCTTACGATAATGCATGTGATGGACACGGTTGATTAAGATCACTATGGTATGCTGATGGCGATTCCAAAGTCCACATGATCTTTTAAAATTTAAACCCTGCATTTGGGAACCAGTCACAAATCTGATGCTCTGGAGATCTTGACCCAACACCTTAAACCACTATAAATGCAAGATGATCATTTAAGCTTGTTTATTATATGCAATGTGCTGCTGTTGCAGAACTGTTGGTTGATAGGGCCTGAAGGGCAGAAGACTTCCCTTACTGTGATGCTGGTGAGTCATTGTGCAATGGAAGCACTAGTCCTGCAAGCTGCTGAGATATACAAGTATGAGCACACTGCTTGGGATGTGTGCAATATATGTGCAATATACCATAAGAATCTTTTGGTACCGTGACTTCAAAGCAGCATTGTGCAGACAACACAATGCACCAATCAGCTTTGATACTATGCGCACTGTGATCTGAGGTTTGTATGATGTAAATGATCAGAAGATTTGCACCACACATATGCTTCCATGAAATATTACACTCAGAGGAATACAAATGAACTTCCTTAACTAATATGCAAATGTTCATGTTCGCACCAGCCACAAAAAAGACTGAACAGTTTTACAGAATTGTATTTTAGTATTTGCCACTGAGACTGGATATCCCATTAAAGTCTCATAATATGGATGTCATTTGAGTAAATATTTAGCTCGGAGGTTCCTACCTTGTTGTGGGATAAGAATAGTGAATAATTCCACTTCATTAGGCTGCAGTGGCTCATAATGAAAGCTGAAGTGGCCTTTTAAGTTATATCATGGTATGTTCTTGAAAGGTGACTTTAAAATGCCTTGAACTGTATTTCCACTTTTGCATTCAAATTTGTGAACACCCCGCTGTGGTATGTTTGTTATGTGTTCCCATTTCAAAGTGAGTCTGTGTACAGAAAAAGAGGGGACACACTGCGTTTCCTCCAATCAACATACAACCCCAATTCCAAAAAAGTTGGGACGTTGTGTAAAATCTACATAAAAAAACAGAATGCAATGAATTGCAAATCTCATACACCCATATTGTCTTCACAATAGAAAATAGAAAACATATTCAATAAACTGAGAAAATTGACCATTTTTAAGAAAAAAATAAGGTAGTTTTGAAATTGAAATCTCACGCTTAGTTTACTAGTTTATATTGAAGTTACAGTCCATCACAGGAGCGAGCTTGGAGCGGTGGCTACTTTACAACACACACAGGGACCTTGGGGAACAAAAGTAGCCCCCCTCCAGAATGAAGGACAGTGTCAGCACCAATTCAGAGATGATTTGAGGATCTACAGCCGAGTAATACACAAATAAGATACATTTTTGGTAATAGTTCAGGTACTTGAATGTTTTTTTTAAGATTTAGTGTCACTTTAATTCCCCGGCACCCTTGCATAGCAGAGAAAAATTCAGTTTTGAGGTTTACAGAGAAGAGCAAGTAACATGTATGCAGCATACTTTAGATATTTTGTTACGCTATGTGAATGAAAACATTTAGTAGCTTCAATTAAGTTGGTGTTATCCCAATTTGGCTGCAAAGGTGGAAATACAATTTAAATAGAACTATGGCAAAATCCAGAAAAACATATATGTTGCAGTCCATCAAAAGCATCAACGCTGCAGTTTTTTGTTTTTCTGAGCACCCCCGTAACATAGTTCCACAGTTGCATTAATGCATGCATGTTGATGGGTGTTATGACATGCGTTGCTTTAAGGCTCGTTTTAAAGGGCTGCCTAAGGCACCAAAATGATACGTGTGCTATTTTTTGTAATACAGTTCACCACTGTTCCAATTTAAGTACTACTGCTTGATGAATCAAAGCCAGTGGCGTGAAGTGAGTGGTCGATTCCCAGGTCTTTGTATCTCCTGATGTCCACTGTGGCCATCTATGTTTTCACCTCAGAATGTTGGCAAAAATGTGGGTTGGGGCTGTGTATACCACTGCCTCTAGCTAATGAAGAGGACATGTTACTTTTAAATAGGGATGCATCTTTACCGATACTAATGTCAGTATCGGTGCCAATGCCGATACCGAGTTTTCGGTCAGAGGGAGAACTCCCCCTGAGCAGCAGTGCCGAGGGACATGGAGTCGCCTTCCTGTCCAATCAGGAAGCCGGGCGGTGGATTATGACCCATCTCCCGGCTTCCTGATTGGCTAGGAAGCCAGCTTCCCTTGTTGCTAGGCAGCTTGGCTTCCTGACCAATTAGAAAGCCGGGCGGCATGTAATGACTCGCCTCCCGGCTTCCTGATTGGTCAGGAAGCCAGACTGCCTAGCAACAAGTGAAGCCATCTTCCTAGCCAATCAGGGAGGCGGGTCATGACGTGATTGGTTAGGAAGCCAGCTTCACTACTTGGTAGGCAGCCTGGCTTCCTAACCAATCAGGAAGCCGGGTGGCACATCATGACTTGCCTCCCGGCTTCCTGATTGGTCAGGAAGCCAGGCTACCTAGCACCAAGTGAAGCCGGTTTCCTAGCCAATCAGGAAGCCGGGTGGCGAGCCATGACGTGCCGCCCGGCTTCCTGATTGGCTAGGAATGCCTGCTTCACTTGTTGCTAGGCAACCTGTTTTCCTGACCAATCAGAAAGCCAGACGGCCCCTTATGACCCGGGCTTCCTGATTAGTCAGGAAGCCAGGCAGCCTCGGCAAGGGAAGCCGGTGTTCTTTCAATAGTGTTCAATAGTGTCCTTTCAATAGAACACCAGCTTCCCAGGCAATCAGGAAGCTGGGCAGTGGGTCATAATCCGCTGCCCGACTTCCTGATAATTGGGGCACACGGTATTAGTGCATCCCTACTTTTAGATTTTATTCATCCTTCAGTTCAATGGAAAGAAAGACAGTTTGAAGGTAGGAAAAGCACTGGTTGCAATGGAGCAGAGCTTACATCTTTGGCAGTTGGGTCAGCTTCATATGTTGTTCGGGAATTTGAAGAACTGTTCAAACTGCAATATATTAATAGCCACTAACAAGCCATTAACAGCCGCACAACAGCATAACTTCTCAATTTGTCACAATTTCTGGTGACCACCACCCCACTTGAAGGAATGTATCCTCGAACAATAAACTACCTTTTGCATTGAACAGCAGAACAACCCCTCCTGTCAATCTTTTTTGTAAATGGTGTAATTCCTATTGGAATGGTCAATGAAACTGATCTCAGGAAGACTGACAACGAATCATCTGGTATTTTAGTCCTGGCACCTTGTACATAATTGATGCTCAGTATGAGATTATAATCTCCCCACAAAGCCTACCTAGAAGTGTTTTATAAACAGCAGGTTGCTCAGTAACTAAGTACTTACCATCAATTGAACACATAACTATCGTATATTAATCATGCCATATCACAAAAAGCAATGACTTATCAAGTACCTTTTCTCTACATGCTTCATTTGCCAAGTGGTTATTCTGAACTCTGATTTTTTTCCCGTCTACCTCTCTCATCCCTCATTCTTTCTCCAGTCCCACCCTGTCTCTAATCACTTTCACTTTGTACAGTATCAAGGGAGACTTTTAAGGTGCAGAAGATGACCTTGCTAATAGAGCTGAGGGAACTTAGAAGTATGATCTTACTAGTATACAGTATAGCATTAAAAAAAACCTATAACTTGCTACAAATCTATTGATAAAAATATATTTCAAAAGGGACAGGTCCTCTTTAAAGGCAATCTTTTAAAAATAGATATTTGGATAATGAGGGGGTGCTGGTGAGTCAAATCACCCACTGGGGAGAATTAAAATTAGGGATGCACCGATACCAAGTACATTACTCGGTACATGTACAGATACTTTTCGAGCTCCAAGACTAGACGAGAGAAAAATTAAGAAGTTAGGAGGCAGCTGTCATTTGTAAGGAGCACACGGGGGTCCTGGGATTTGTACATCTCTGTTTTGATGTATGATTTTGTTTTTATAAATATAAATAAAGGGATGCACTGATACCAGTACTTGCGAGTACTGGTACTTGCCGAGTACTTACAAGTACGAGTACTGATACATTTTTGTTTATTGTCATGTGACAGTTTTTCTACAACAATACAGACTAATGATTTCAGGACAGTGGTGGAGTGCCAGAGCCCGGTCCCAGCTGCAATCACTGCAACCCTGGTAGTTCTCATGAAAATCCCAAGTATCGGCATTGCTACTCGAAAAGTATCGGTGCACCCCTAATTATAATGACAATTTCTTTGGTTTTGTCCAGACACACTGCTGAATCTCAGTCCTTTTGCTTATTCTCAAGCAGGTCGTGCACTGTTAGAATTTTGTTTGCTCTCATTATTGAGTCAACTCATTTTGTTTGAAAGCTAGACATGTAACAATCAGATGCACCCGAATGTCCGAATTCCTTTGAGGCCAAATGCAAACTAATCCAATTGTTCTCTTAATGAAATTTCGGATCATTGAATTTCATTCAAAATTAAACTAAATCGGACATGTGACTATTTTCTGGCCAATCAGAAAATCCAGTCTGAAACTAAAACGGAATTACGAAAAGATCGGAATCTGAATAACAAAACGGCAATCTGACCTGAAATCTGAAAGTAAAAATCTGAAACTAAACACATTTTTGTGTATTGGAAGTTCTTAAAAATGTCGTCCAGACCTGCTACTTGAATGGAATATCAGACTTATTAAACCTAGCACATGTGCATTACAATACAGTATGTACAATTTTTCTTTATGGAAATCACATTCATGATTAGGATTTCCTTCATTCAGATGAGAAATTAGAAAACTTTCCATCCTGCTCCTCCGTTTCCTTGTGACTACTGTAAAAAACGAAAGTTGATTAGACCCCACTTACCATTAGAACATCCAACACTCAAGAATTATTTTTTTAAAATATATATTCTCTATTTATAATAAATGAACAAATAAGTACATTTTAGGTAGTAAGAGCAATAAACAAGGTTCATCAAATGAAGCAAAAGTCCAACTGAAGGTCTGACTGAAAAGAAGGTTAGCGAATCAGGTTCAAATATAGAGATATACAGTATCACAGGCAAAAGCAGATGACACACCAATCAGTGTATATTAATATTGCAATAATGCTGGATATTTGAACAAAATTCTGCTAGTGTATGGTCAACTTTAGAAAGCAGAGATTACCCCCTGCCCCCTATTTATTAGTAGCATGGGAGGTTGAATAGCTGGAGATGGGGAATCAGATGAAGGTACCTTGCTCATATAATAGCCAATGATAATACAAATCTGATGGA